TCATACAATGAAATTCAGTGGGGTCCAATGCTGTTGGTTTGTTACGACATGATAGGGTGAGTAAATGATGATAGAATTTAAATTTTTGGGTGAACTATCCCTTTAAATGTGTGTATGTTTGTTTACATGCTTAAATCGTGTCAGTTCACCTGATTTATGTCTATTTATGGTGTGTTAAAGGTTCATTGTTCGTTAGCAGCATTAACAAAAAATTGGCGGGAAATCATTCACCCGATAATAAAGTCCAAAGACATCTTGTGGGTTACCAAAATAATGCTTGTAGGAATGTTACCACGTAATCAGTGTTATGTCAGCTCCGCATTGCTGAATATTTTGTTAGTGCTCCGGTTTCGCTCCTCTCAGCATAGATGCACCGTAACTTGTAATAGTAAGCGTGAGGTAACTGCAGGGCACAAGAACTGCTGTGTCACGCTGAAAGGAGTGAGGGATTACACTTAGACGGGCTAATGTGTATGTGTGTAAGGGGAGGCACATCTACATTTTGTGTTATGACACATCTGCCCAGCCCTCTATCGCCGACTGGGAGCATTGAATGAACGTGGTGATGCAACTGCAACGTCACAACGTTTCCCACTCTCCATTTTCCCTCCCTCTCATTCACACATTTCTCCTCCGCTGGTGACAGTGCACTTTACCTCTCCGCTCGGGCTTTGGGTCTGTGTATGTTTGTCCATGGGGTTGCCTTGCCTTCACTGTGTTGATGGTGGCGATCCAACTGGCAGGGCGAGCGGGAGAGAAAGACACTGATCATAAGGAAGGACGACAAAACAAGAGAGTCGCGGACATAGCACGAGGTTATGCTGGTTTATACAAAATTGCGTGTTACGCGGTGTGCGATCGCTCCCTCATAATGCAAAAGCGGCTGTCAAAGACGATTGCCATATTTTTCTCTGAACAGAACGAGTCCAAAAATAAGCTCATGGAGAAAAGGGAGAGGTAAAGATAGAAAAGATGCCAGCAAAAGAGCGAGTGTGAGAAGCTTCGGAGTTCGAGGAGATTGGTTGGCATGAAACAAAGTGTTTAGACAGGAAAGAAAGCGCAAGAGTGGCTCAGAAAAGGGAAAGCAGAACACGATTATGACCAAATTCATCTTTTACACTGAACGCTCACTTACCATCGTGGTGTCTATCTTCTGCGCTTCCCTAGCCTTGAGTCCGGCACACGAACATTGCACCTTCTGTATCACTGCAATTGCACCTCGTCACCCTGTCTCGCTTCCGAGCAGAATAAACGCCACTGACGAGTCAAAATAGTTAAATAGAAGCAAAATTGTGCACAAACGCATGTGTGTTATGTGTCGTTCGTTGTCTTTTCCCTCAAAACTTTGAGCTTCCTATTTCTCTGCAGTTCCCGTTAACCTCCCTGTACCTTGTGGTTGCTTCTGAGTCGCTGCGCTTTTCCCCTCACATCCTGTACCTCGGCTTCAAGACTTGGTTGCTGCTGCTTGACTCTTATATCTGTGGTCTATATAAGCGCACCCATGTATATGCTTCGTATACGATGTAGACGACTGCCATTCCTTTCACGGTTTGACAGTCTCACATGATTTGGTTTAAGCTGCAGCACTTGTGTATGTTTTGTCCGGAAGGATCTTCTGCCAGTCTTATGATGTTTTGCAATATAAAGACTGTGAACTATTGAGGACGGTAATGACAGGAATAAATATATCGTAGCCAGTAATTTCCCTTTCTTATATTTATTATTTTTTTTGATAGTATTATTCTTAAACACTAAATGGCAGCTGTGGTGTGATGACATTTAACCACTGCAGCCTCCATCTTATGCAGACCAAAACACCTCTACAGTAATATAGCTGCTCATTTTTGTTGTGCATGCATCTCTGCTTTCACATTAGCCGTAGATCTGTGTCCATATATTCCTTTATTTAGCACAGTAGCCAGCCACTCGTGCTTTCTCTTGCTCTCTACGCTTTGTAGCTGCTGTGTTTCCTGCACTATCCACCATTCCATCGTACGTGCCCAGTGTGGCTCAGATAATGGCCTCTCTCACTCTGCACACACAGAAAAGAGGAGGGGGAGGAGAAAAACGAAGGGAGGGAGAAAACGAGGGAGGGGGAGGGAGTGAACGAGCAAATGAAAGAGAGAGAGAGGCAAAGCAGACGGTGAATGCAAAAAGCAGAAAGAAGAAGGAGAATATAGAAAAAGGGAAGGGAGGAGCAGAGAGACATAATGAGAGAGGGAGAAAGAGAGAAACGACAGTGGCGATAGGAAGAGAGTGAGTGTGTGTGCGTGCGTGGGGGAGGTGTGTATGACAAGAGTGCGTGCGTGCGTGTGTGTGTGCGCGTCCGTGTGCCGCACTGCCTGGCTGACTGAGAAGAGAGGGAGAGAAAGAAATAAAGAAAGAGAGAAAGTACCCATAGTGGATTTCCACCAGCTGGCTGCTGCTGCTTCTTTTTTTTTTTTTTTATTTGGCACTGTCTCGAAAGCTGTATTCCATGCACTTTCTTGTCCACATTTCCCACCTTTGTCTCTCCAGCAACGTTATTGGGACAGCTAGACCACTGTGAGTAGACGCCAATCTGTTCATTTCTCTCTCTCTGTACGCTTGAGCTTTGTATTTCGATTGTGAAAGGCACCGGAGGACGGGGAACGGGAAGGGGGGTGTTGTGTGTCTTACTGTGCTCAGCTGTCTACTACTAGGCTTTAAATAACATCCACACTCTCTCTGTTTTTTGTTTGTTTTTGTTTGTTTTTTGCATTGTGCTGTCAACCTCTGAGACAGCTCTGTTAATTGTCATTTCTGAGACATAGTAGATGCACCATAGGGCACCTCATACTTCCGAGTAAAACCGGTTTTACAGTCTCTTCTGGTTGGGCGTGTTAATGTTTTGGTAGTAGTAGTAGCAGCTCTCTGTCTGTAAGAAAAGGGAGATAGTTTTGGCAGCGATCAAAGCTCTGGCACACCTAGGATAATTGCCTAAGCACGTGCTTTCTGCTGTCAGACAGGTGTGTATTTGCAGGTGTACGGCATATATATGTGTCGCTGATCCAAAGAATCTGGTACACATCTTGCATGGCACATGTAATAAATCAACTCTCTGTTTAGAATGCAAACTATTTCGTGCTTTTCTTGCGTGTAGTGAAGACTATTCTAATGAAGACTATACTGTGAAAGTTTTCTGCGTGATGGTATGCACATGGGTGTTTATTGCATCACTAAAAAGAGGGAAAATAGCCTGTTGTGACACTTGTGTGGTTCGGCTTTTTTTGAAGAGTTAAAGTGTGACCATTGTTGGTAAATGGGGTACTAGTCTGACACATGCCTTTGAAACACACACACGCACAAACTGTCTGCTCAGTGGCTGGCACACTGCCCATGGGGGTCCAAACAGGCACCATCAGTTAAAGGGGCTCTTGACAACTATTCCAACTTAATAAAACCGTTTAGAAATCATTTGAATGGTTCACTAACCTGTTCTGGAGAGAGTTGTGACTTTCCCCGCTTCCCCAAGTGTCCCTAGGTGGAAAACAGTCCTTGCAACATGGGAACTAACGTCCCAGTAAGTTGGAAATAGGAAGTCTCGTGAGAAGCGAGAACGAGCGAGAAATACAAACTGCCTTATGGCAATTCGACATAATTCTATGATACTGTGTATCATGTATTACCCACTCAGAAGACATAGCTCCACCCGATTAAGTTGTCCGGCTCGGATAATAACAAATGCACGTGAGCAGCGATAGAAAGAGGGAGGAAGGTGCCGCGAGTGAGTTTTTATTGTGAAAATATACGCCGCACAGCTGTACGGGGAGCTCGATGAGACAACATGCGACAACAAAAGTGAAAATCAACGAAGAAATTATTAGAGTTGCCAAGTGCCCCTTTAAGGTGAATTCAAAGTCTAGTCTTTGTAGTCTAAACAACTTAATTTAATGGGAAAAAGAAAATCTTATACTCAAATATTGTAGATGCTACTACAGAATTACTGCTTATGACATCTGAAAAGACAGAGTTATGTTTGTTAGTAGAGTTTTTTTCATGGGTGTTTTATGAATTTATTTAGTTAACATGATAAAACCACAAGGTCCTCTTTTCTAAGATATGCCTTCACCATGGACAACGTTCTATGTGTTTGTCTTCTGTGCAGCAAACAGGTTTTAATTTTATCCACTCTTTCACATAGAAGAATACTGAAGGGATTATAAAAATCATTCACACAATTTATAATAATATGTTGTGTTTTAGAGAGACATTGCCACTTAAAAGTGCCACAAAATGGTTGCATGGTGATATTGCACTTTAACTTATCTGGAGCCAGTTAGGAGTTTCCACAACACTTTCAAGATAAAAAGCACAACAGAGACCAGCAAAGAGGATATTTGAAAACCAGGAACCAGGAAAAGTTTCTCAGTATGTTGACTTGGGCATTACCAGTTGTATTGTAATTGTAAATGGGGTTGTATTTGCATGAGACAGTTGGCTCATCTAGTTAAAGCAGTCTTTATTGTGACCTTGAAAACTGTACAAGTAGGCTCAGGTTATTTTTGTAGCATCTACTTAATAACAAATTAAATTAGACAATATAGTGATAACCAATTTTATAGACTCGTTGTGTAATGTGTTTTCTTGTGAAAGAGAAAAAAAGACAGAGAGATAGCAAAAGAACAACAAAAGACAACTATTTCTTTTACAAAGTATTATGTAGTCTTATCTCAAATCAGGCAGCAACTTTACAGAGAATACCAAGATGAAACAGGTCAGAGTATGTTGTCTAGTTAATAGAAGTCAATGATTATGTCACTATTCCAGGACAAAATGTTATGATGCATGTTTGAATTAGTCTGCAATTGATACATGAAAATAGTATTTGCCCTACATTTGTGTGTGTGTAATTAATGCATAACATGTTGATACAAAAGGTTTGAGAACAGTTTTGAAAAGGATACACACACTCGATACATATAAGTAAACTGTCAGTTTGCTAAATTGTCAAGTAACTTGTGCTTTTTGCTCTTCCACAGACTGTTTCTGTGGTGGGTTCAGTGGATGGCCCCAGAGGAAGAGGCCAGATGGAAATTGGGTCCCATGACCGCCTGGAAGAAGGCATGTTAAACCATGAACTGCCTAACGGGCTTAGCAAACATGCAGGAAATGAAGAAAATATTTGTGATGAAGAAGTCAGAGGCATGGCCAAGGAGCAACACCAGCACAACTACCATGAGGGGGCTGGATGTATTCCCCAGGCACCGGGCTGGGTCCCTGAGCAAGCTGGAAAGTCTTCAAGTCCTGAAAGTCAACAGGGTGCGTGGAGTGGCCAAAATGCCAGCACTCCAGTGAATGATGTGGATATGGAGGATGCACGAACCCTGGTGGCCTTTTCTGCTACTGTTGGCTCACTGCCACCTTACACCAACCATCAAACTTCTCAGACTCCTACAGCTCAGTTGTATGAAAGGTTCCATCAGGAAATGTCTAATGGAGGTGAGGAGACCAAAAAGAAAGTTGTGGATGGTGAGTTGTGCCCCCCTGAAGATCTAAACACTCTTCAGGCAGCACTGAACAAGGCACGTCATGGCCACAAGCCACCTAACTGTGATTGTGATGGCCCAGACTGCCCTGACTACCTGGAGTGGCTGGAGAAGCAAATCAAAATGGTGGCTAACTCCCAGGATAAAGGTTCCTGTAAGACCACTGGTGCTCCTCCACAGCCACATGCACCACATCGCTATTCTCAACCCCAACCACAACAATGTGGAGGTAACCTCTTGTGTATGCAAGACACAAATCCACAGCCCCTTGTTAACCAGCCTTCTGCTCCTAGACCCTTTGGCCCACCAGCACCCATTCCCTGCTCCCCTAGTGTTCTGTCCATAGCCAAGGAAAGAAATGTTAGTTTGCAAACAGCCATTGCAATTGAGGCTCTGACCCAGTTGTCTGCCACTGTCCCACAAACTGTTGTTCCTCCAAGCGAATCTTCTTCTGCAAATCACCATCAGCATCTGCCAACCTCCTACCCCCAGAGTATGCCACAAGTGGTCTCTTCATCATCTGGTCCTTTTTTTTCCTCCGCTGCTATGTCACAGTCCATCCCTTCAGGACGTTACCCCCAGGAGGTATCATCTTGGGAGCAGCAGAGACCTCAGTCTCAGGGTGAGGCCCCTGCACCTAACCCATCTCACTATGCTTCCCCATACCCATCCTCAAAGTCCCCATTTTCAAGCATACATTCATCCTCCCCCAATCCACGACCCCAGCAGTGGAACCAGGGCACAGCTGGAAGCTGCGAGAGAAGCTCCCCTCGGAACCCATGGATGATGGAGAACACAGAGTCCCAGCTTCGTTTTGTAAACACATCCCAAGGCAGCAGTGACCCAGTGTCCGAGCTAAAGCAACTCCTTGGAGACACCGGTGGAAAGTACTCCAACTCAGCCTTCAAGTTCCCACTCCTTCACCCCAGCTTGCAGGATGGTCGCAAGGGCAGCCTTGCTGGGATGCCTCACATCAAGCAGGAGGCAGACACAAAGGAGTACCTGGGCTCAGGATGTGCAGTCATGGGACAGGAGGGGATGGTAAATGGCCAGCAGCCGTTCCAGGGTCAGCAGTTTTCACCCACCATTAGGCACTCAACTCAGGCAGCACTACAGCAGCACCTTCATCATAAACGTAACCTCTTCTCTAATTCTCCTGCCTTTAGTTCGTTAGCCCCCATGGCTTGTCAGAACCTTCGTAAATGGTGGCCACAGTCTATTCCAGAGAGTCCTGTAACCATCAAACAGGAGCACAAAGAACCCAAAAAGAAAAAGGGTGCTCAAAGTTCTCCTCTTCTTAAGCAGTCAGTGGGTGGGCTATTTGGTCCACTAGGCACACCTCTTCCAAAACCCAAACAGATTGTTATCAAGAAGCATAAACAGAAAGCTTCCCAGCCAACTTTTCTCCCACAGAAACAGATTACAGTATCGAAACCTCCCTTCATCTCCCCAGGATATGCACCATCCCTCTCTCAGCTTGTTCCATCTCTACCAGGCATGGAAGCTGGGCTTCCCCCCTCTCAGGTGGCTGAGAGCCACCCAGCTCCAGCTCAATCTCAGGAATCCATTTTGAATAGCAGTAGTGCACACATCTCTGAAAACACTCATTTTTCTTCTACCCCTGTGTCAGTTCTAGCACCATCCACCCAGAAGGTGATAGCTTGCTCAGGCCCAGCTGGGTCAAATGACAGCATCTCAACAACCAGTATCACGCCTCAAACCTCTACAACACAGCCAATTTCTTCTCTGGCTGGCCTCAGTAACCTAGATCCAAAATTTGAGGAACTTATTCGCCAGTTTGAGGAGGAGTTTGGGGACACCATTTCCTCAACTTCTGCAGCAGAGACCCCAGAGAATGGCCCTGCTCCGCCAGTGGTGACCGAGTCACAACCAAACTCAGGACAAACCAGACCCGAGTCACCATCCCCAAAGCAGCCTGTTAATTGCCCTCCTGTTCCCACAAATGAGTCTGAGCCCATGGATGAAGGTCAAAAGGACATGAAAGAAAAAACATCATTGCCATCTGAGCTCTATACTGTCAAACAGGAAAGTGAGGAATGTGAGGTGGATGTGAAACCCTCTGGGCAGCTCCTGTCTGTAGCTCAGGATGCATTTCTGGATCGACAGCACCCCTTCATCACACCTTTCTCCCCTCCAACTAAACGTATAAAGATTGAGTCATCTGGTGGCGTGACTGTGCTTTCCACAACTGCATGTTTCTCTGCTGCAGACGGAGAGGGGGATGATTTGAATACTCCCACCAAGGATAGCTTTCCCTCCTCCCCTTCACTTAAAGGTTTTCTTGAGTCACCATTGCGCTACCTGGACACTCCCACCAAGAGCCTACTGGACACACCTGGGAAAAATTCCCAACCTGATTTTCCCACATGTGACTGCGTAGGTAAGTGTGAGAAAATTCAGCAAAAAAGTCTGGTCCAGTAAAAAATATCGGACCAAACTGGGAAAGAACACTCATATTCTCAAACAGAATAAAAAAGGCAGATAAACAGACATTGAGATTTTGTGACATCATAGCACATCAGAGACTCGGCTTTGAGACTCGCTTAGCTAACCCACCTAACTGTACGTTAACACCGCCGCGGTCTTGAGCGTCAAAGAAGCCCTGTCAAGGACGCTTGTCAAAAAGTATGGGGAAGCTTGTTGACGCTTTGGAGGCTTTGAACGCTCTGACGTTGCAGGGAGAATAGAAGTGTTACAACATGAAATGTAATAAACAGAAAAAAACAAGCAATACATTGAAGAAACCTTTTTTTAATGACAGCATTTTTTTAACCGTTTTGGTCACATTTGGTCGGGAAAAAATAGTTAGCTATTATTATTATTATTATTATTATTATTATTATTGCGGTCAAATCGGTGTCACCGCGTGCAAATTAATTGCATTCCTGCTTTAAAACGAGCGTTCGTAAATATTTCAAATAAAAGTTGTGCTCATGCGGTCCATATAAGAAAACATCATGATGTCATAAATGATACGAAACCAGTAGAAAACACAGCAACGGCGATGATTAGCTTCTCTTCCATTTTCTCGGAACTAACGTTTTGGTAGGAACGAAAGTTTACATTGAATGTTTCTCCGGAATCAGCAAGCGTGAAGGACTATATTCCGATTGGTTGCTGGCGTTTTGCCGCTGCTTACCGGTGAACCGCGTCACAGCTCATTACCATAAAGTTGAGCTTCTTTCAACTTTCTTATTGACGCTCAAAACGCCCTAAACACGACGCCGATGGATTTGACGCTCCTTGCAGCTGAGAAAAGCCAGCTTCCATTGAAAATGAATGACTTCCGGCCGCTTTGGAAGCTCAAGTCGGCGGCGGTGTGAACGTACAGTATCTTTTTGCTTTATTGCAGTTCGCTTTATTACCAGTATATGTTAGGATTAAGGTTATTCCAATAGACTATAACATAGACTAATTTGATCATCAAAATTCCCTTCAGGAAGCTCAAAATGTTTCTTTTCATCACATAATTTCTGTATCAGCACATTTCTCAGGGTAGTGTTGGGCCATGTCTCTATCAGGGGCCGTGCATTGCTCTGCAATCTGTTGTGTTTGCCTCTTGCAGAGGAACAATAGTTTTGAAGAAAGGAGCCCATTGTAATTCTTTGGGCCAGTGCAGTGCAGTGCCTTCTGTCTATGTTCAGGCTATTGGTACAGTGAGTACAGCTAGTTTTCCAAAGGGAGAGTCTGCTCATATATCATATGATATACTGTGGCTAGACATCAAAGAAGGGAGGGACTAGGGAGGACAGGGTGAGAAGAGATGGTCTGCAACCTCTTAGCTCAGCCCTTGTATCTCTTATTTTGTCATTTCAGAGGTTTTGGTGAACTGTGTGAAATTTTTCCTATTACAATGTTTGATTGCATTGCAACAGTAGCTAAGAATTATTTGCAAATTTCGACTGAAGATATTCCAAAAAGCTGTCCTCATTATATATACCATATTATATCTGTAATATGTAATTGTCAAAATGATTTTCCAAATGAAGAAAGTATTCATTCAAGGGTAGTAAGCTGTGCCTGAACACTTGTTGGAGCTTGACTGTTACAAAAAGCAAAGGACAATAGAAGGGAGGTTTCCATAGTGAATCCTTATAGCACTCTGTCAACACCACAGGGAACACCCAGTGCTATTTGATGCGTACAAACACACCAAACACGTTGCATATGTTGTACATTCAGCAGTTCTGATTTTAACATGGGAGAATTTATATTTAGTCGACTATATTTTTGACTTCTCAAAAGCACTAAACTCTTCCTATTTTGTTAGCTATTCTTACAAGTATAGTTGGTACAGTATTTTACACTGCTGAGTAAGCAGATAGTATGCATCCACAAGATGTTTCTCTTTTCTCACAAACACTTTTTTCATAAGACTTTCTCTTTTTTTGCTCACCCACACACATGACTGACTCATACTATTGTTCTAATGAAATTACACATTACAATTACACATCTAAATTAACTATCATTGTATAAGAGTGTGTCCATGCTTTAACCTGCATTCTCTCGGTGTCCCTTAGACCAAATCCTAGAAAAGGACGAGGGCCCATACTACAACCATTTGGGGTCTGGGCCAGACATGCCTTCAGTCAGAAAACTAATGGAAGATCGGTGAGATGCACAGATTTCTGAATCATTATTGCATACCATAATGTCTCCTCCACAGATTTTATTTGTGGGCATGTTTGTTTGCTAACACAACCTGCAGGACATGTAAGGGCCACGTGGAATCTTACTTTAAGGCGAGACACAGCAAGCAAACACATTGGGTTTTTTTTTTCACTGGTCAGTTTTGAGGTTTTGGGACATTTGTCTTTAATAACGTGTATTTCAGACTTGTGGTGAAAAAAAGTCAGGAATACACATGTTGGTCTTTATTTTATTACACTTTGTCTGTTTGCCTCTGTAGATTTCTAATTCATTAAAAGTTGGCGTTCTAAATTGTCCCGCTGCTCTGCAATCCCTGTCTGCACCCGGTCATCACACACACCGTTAGAAAGCTCTCTCTCCTGTACAACGCTGTCGGATCCAAATATGGTCATTTATTTTTTTAATCAGCAACCAATTGTGAAAGTAAAAGGGGGGATTTAACTCCCCCTGATGCTAAATCTTTAAAGCCCGTTTTCTCAAAATGACTTTTCTCTCATACTCCAAGTCCGAAATCTCTACTTCAGTAGCACCTATATACACAAAACTTTCCTGTCTTGTAGTACCTAGTTATATTAAGACATTTAGGGATTTGTAAATATATTATTCCTAGCCTGATTTATATAACAAATTTAAAATTTGTTTTTATTACAAAAAACATGGCGAAAATCTTCTTTTAAGGCTATTGACAGTATATTCTAATTTACAGAATAACAAAACTAGATTGCCATAAATCTCTCTGTATTTTTTTCCCCATCTAATATGTAAACACAATGACAAACGTGAAGGAATTTTAATCCTGGCTTTATCTAATACTCGGATTTCATTTTTTTAAAATGAATGCAAATGAGCTCATATTTAATTAGATTATGCCTAATTTGCATATTTAATCATTAAATTGCAGAAGACTTGTAATACATTTTTTTCCCCTCATCTTAATGTAGGTAATCAACTGTGTACGTTTCATGGTGATATCAGCTAGTTAAAAAAAATACCCTATTCACCTGTAGTGTCTCGCCTTAAAATCAAGTTTTTTTAAACTATTAAAACAATGGAATTAGCTGAAGAAACTAGTTTGAATGTTGAATTTAAAGGTCAGCCTGCTTGCTTTTACTTGCCTTTCTGCCTTGTCCTTTTTTTAGTAACATGTTAACCAAAATAGAGGAAAAATACAATGAGTAACATTCAGAAAAACCAAATCCATTTATAGATTACAATATATTTCATCAACCAGAAGTTATTAAACTTCTGAAACCACAGAGGAATACTGCTGATCCTACGTCATTTGCTTTAAGAGTTCCCTAGTGACCCTTTCATTGTTCTGTGAGAGTTGTTTGGAAGCTCTGGCAGTTGGATCCCGGCAACAGATTCTTAACCAGCCGAGGATAAGCATCTCCCTTTTCTGCCGTTCGCTCTCCCCTTCCCCTCCTCCCACCTTCCTTCTCTATGATCTTGTCCCCAGGGAATTCCTGACCCAGAATCCAACAGGAGTAACAGGAAATATTGGCATCAGCAGATCGACACAGGGGAGAGACAGGGAGAAAGACAGACAATGAATAGCAGGGGAAGAGAGAAAGAATTTAGAGGAAATCAAAGGAGGTGGAGAATTGATGAAAATGGTGGGGTATATATTAAAACTTGAAGCAATGAGTATCCTGTTGTTGTTTTGTCCAGATACAAATGGCAAAAGGAAATAACATTTCCTTTTCAGCAGCGCTGTCATGTGGTGCCCATATGTGCAAAATGTTCACTCTATTTACACCGAAAATCAAGTTAATTTGCTATATATGAGATTACTTTATAGATTCCCTGACGTCTGAAAACTTTCACTACTACTTAAAGATCCTGTGATCATTCAGAAGTGAAGAGGCAAATGAACAGCTCCACAGGGTGTTGCCCCCTTTCTCCTGTAAGCATACAGAAGCTAAGACTTCCTTGACCCATTTGGATAGAGTATCTCCACCTTTGCTGACCTTTGGTACACTTGTCCACTCTCGTTGCTTTATTTGAGTGCTGATTGAGGGCATAGTGGCTGTAATTTCTATAGCTTGAGCCATCTCCTCTGAGATAGAGGGGGAGGTGGTGGGTAGAAGAACCTCCCCTTTGTTTGTCTGTCAGACAGTGACTATAGCCATCTTAAGCCTAAGCCTGACCCTTTTGTGGCCTTTGACCTTATAGCCCACCCCCGTGGATCTTGGAAGCTTCTCCCTCAGACTGTGTAGTTTTAACCGAACGGTATTTATACTTCCCTCATGCTGCTGTCATGCTCATGCACTGAGAGTTTCATTTGAGGAGACAAGTAATTGTTGACTGCGAACATGAGCCATCATACACAAATATAGAACTGAGGCGATAGCCAACAATATATTGTATGGATCAAAATAATCGACTTTTCTTTTTTGCCAAAAATCATTAGGATATTAAGTAAAGATCATGTTCCATGAAGATATTTACTTACCGTAAATATATAGAACATTTATTTTTGTAAGTGAATGCAGCACAATCGTGAACATAAATGGACAACTTTCATTCATTTTCTCAATGTTTCGATTTTTTTTGCACTTTAGATTCCAGGTTTTCTAATAGTTGTATCTCGACCAAATATTATCCTATCCTAACACACCATACATCAATAGAAAGCTTATTTATTCAGCTTTCAGATATTTTAAAGTCCAGGGTCACAAATGTGTGTAAACATCAAGACTGAGTATCAACTACTTCACATTTCAATACATTGTTCAATACATTTCAACATATCACAATATCATAATTGCATTGCTGAAGCTGTACCAAACCCTCCACACTGGCTCTGACTGCCAAAAAATCTGATTTAAGTATACATCGTGGTTTATTCTTCATTAATATTGAGGAGGGCATTTGTTTTCATGTTGTAGTATCAAACTGTGTTATTTGAGTTACATATGTCCCCTTCTCTCTCTCTATTATTCCAGGTATGGGGAGAAGGGTGAAGCCGTTCGTCTTGAGAGGGTGATTTACACAGGACGAGAAGGAAAGAGCTCTCAGGGATGTCCTATCGCTAAGTGGGTAAGTGTGAAAAACTACATATTTCTAAAATCAATGAGTCATTTGGTTACCTGAATGATCAGACAACTAATTGGGCTTAAGAAAATCCTGTATAATTCGGATGGTGTGGAGTTCACATAAGCCAAACAAGCATATTTCTTAGGCACTCAAAAATAGCTTGTCAGCATGCACTGTGGGACTATTTTAAACTTCAAACGTGACAAGACATAAGTCAAAGACGTCCCTCCGAATCATTTCTTTACATTGTGATCCTGCCCAAGTGGGAAAATAATTTACTGCTGTAAACACACCTACAGATTAGCATCTAGCAAATGCCTTCATCGTTACTGACTGTCTTTCTCTCCGTAGGTGATTCGTCGCAGCAGCGAGAAGGAGAAATTGTTATGCATTGTGAAGCAACGGCCTGGGCACCACTGTGCCAATTCTGTTATTGTTGTTGTTATCTTGGCCTGGGAAGGTGTGCCCCGTGCTCTAGGAGATAAACTGTACAAAGAACTCACAGAAACCATCATTAAATACGGCAACCCCACCAGCCGCCGTTGTGGACTCAATGATGAGTGAGTTTTGAAAACAACTGATGTTTTTATTTTTATTTTTGGCCTTTTGTGTCTTCAAGAGATGTAGCAAAGAGGTCACAAGAAAATTGTATTTCGGATTGACTAATTTGTTAAAGTAAAGTTGGAAGTGCATCAGTCAAAGTTATATTGTGAATCATTCTTTTGATTATATTAGGTACATTTTTCTAGACTGTTTTACATTGACTACTAATTATATCACCTATTGTAAGAGTTTATAGTTTCACCTGATTGAATTCATGGTGGGTGCCTTTTGCAGTCGAACATGTGCGTGCCAAGGAAAGGACTCGGAGACCTGTGGAGCTTCCTTCTCTTTTGGCTGCTCCTGGAGCATGTACTTCAATGGATGCAAGTATGCTCGAAGCAAAACCCCTCGCAAGTTCAGACTGCAGGGAGACCACCCCAAAGAGGTTAGTTGCTCATAAAGAAAGGGAGAAGAATTCTTTAATGTAATGAGTGGTTATTTTTATAAGCCCGATAAAAATAGCCAAGAGTAATTTATTTTCTATTTTTGTGTATAGGAGGATGATCTCAGGGATAACTTCCAAAACTTGGCCACGCATGTGGCCCCTCTATATCAGCGGCTGGCTCCCCAGGCCTACAGTAACCAGGTTTGTTGAATTTGTTTGACAATTAAAAATAGTCAGTGTAGTCACACTACACCTGAATGGTTCACAATTCATACTATTTAAGCACATTAAACCAGACATGTTTTCTTGTAATTGGTTTGGTGTGGTTTATGTGATGAAAAATTTATTTTAATGTTTCAGAACTTTAAATTTATATAGATAAATTACGGAATCAGGAAATGTTAAAGGAATAAATAGAAAACAAATTGATTTTTTTTTGTGTGTGTGTGTGTGTGTGTGTGTGTGTGTTGCTCAGTGTGTAAATGAGAACATTGCTTCAGACTGTCGGTTGGGTTTGAAGGAAGGTCGGCCATTTTCGGGAGTCACTGCATGCATGGATTTCTGTGCCCATGCTCACAAAGACCAGCATAACCTTCACAATGGCTGCACTGTGGTACGTTATTAATGGAATACTACTGTTACAATACATGCTCATTTATTTGTACATGAATATTTCACAATGCATGAATAAAAATGATTCACTTGTAGAGTTTAGAGTTGTTTTGTGTGAACATTTTTAGGAGTTAGATGCACCCTGTGGTGGAAGTAGTTAGCTTTACACTTCCTAATTTTGTTACTTTCAGGTGTGCACTCTTACGAGAGAGGACAATCGCACAGTGGGCACCATTCCAGAAGATGAGCAGCTGCATGTGCTTCCACTCTACAAGATGTCTACAACTGATGAATTTGGTAGTGAGGAGAACCAGCGTCTCAAAATGCAAACAGGAGCCATCCAGGTGCTCTCTAACTTTCGTCGAGAGGTTCGAAAACTTCCGGAACCTGCTAAATCCTGCCGGCAGCGTCGGTTGGAGGCAAAAAAGGCAGCATCAGAGAAGAAGAACAGAAAATTGCAGCTTGCAGAAACCCCAGAGAAGACTGTCAAGATGGAGATGCACCACATGGAGTCACCCAACCCTCAGCAAGGCAATAAAGGTCAGTGGATAAGATCAGTTTAACTCTATATTAGCCATGTAACGGTACACAGAAGTTATGGTAGGTTTTGGGGTCACGGTTCGATACGAGTTCGGTACAACAGGATAAAGACAACAGATCACCAAAGCTAGGCATCTTTTCATTTATTTTGAACAGACACCAGTGCAAATTACAGTTTGTTCCACCTAGCGGCATTTAGTCCCCTAGTTGGTACAGTACAGCCCCCTCTATTATATTAACCCATAATATTATTTAAGTACTTTTGTATACTTTTTAATGATGACTGTATGTTTTTGTTTTTAGTTTGTGTGTGTTATAATTGTTGGAGCTTGTATTGCAAGACAAATTTCCGTGTACACGGACAATAAAGTACTATCTTATCTTAACATCTTGTTTTCGAGGGGGTCCTCAAATGCATCTCTTGTGTTACAAAAGTACAATATAAGTAGAATAATGAACAATAAAAAGTAAAACTGCAGAGATTGGTTTTTGCACTCCTGTAGTGTTTTTCTGCCTAGCTCCGGTTATTCTGGATGATCTGTGTTAGCATGTTGGCTGGCAAAATCTTAATTTAGCTGAAGTGGAAATATTTTAAAGATGTGGAGTTTAGATGTTATTATTTGAATAGAATTTTCCATTTCAATTAAAGGTTTGGGACTCAATCACTATAAAGTATCCATTTAATATATACTTTTTTTCTTGTTCATCTGTTATCTAGCTATTCCAAAACAAGAGGTGAAACCAACCATCAAAAAAGAGCCTGTCGACCGCTTCCAGCCCTTCAATGGAGCCATACATGGCTACCCAGCACTAAGGAACGGCAAGACAACCCCTGATCCCCACAACATAAGCAGTTCATTTCCCTACCCTGGTAACTATGCAAGAGGTCACATCCCTACCAACAGCCAACCTCCTGCACAGAGCCCCATCAATGGCTTTCACCCTAACCTCCAAGATATACGCTACCGATATTACAACTACCCTCCTAGTGCACTTTTTCCTCCTGAGCTCTTGGGATATGATAACGGAGCCTGGCCCAAAGCTGGAGAACCCTCTGCCACATCATTTGACCAAAAGCCAGATGTTCGGTGTCTCCAAGCCACGTTGGCACAGGCCTATCACAGCCGTCCTGGGCAGTCACAGCAACAAATGGCTGACGCATCTATTCAAGGCTACCCACACCCTTCTGAGATTTCGCAGTCTCCTGTTCCACCTAGTCGTACTCCATCGGCGTCACTTGATCAGAACCACCGCTCAACACCAATCATCAAGCAGGAGCCCATGGATGTGCCACTATATGATGGCAGATCAGATGGGAAAGCTCAGAGCTGCCCTAGCACTCCCAGTACCACGCCAAAACCTGAAGGCTGGCCTGAGCACAAACCAAATGGCAGCATAGTCTCTAAAGGCTGGGATGGAAACATCAGAACATTCACTCCAGATAAGCAGAGGCTCCACCAGCAACACCCACACAAACATGAACATCTTCAGTATCCACAGCAGCAACAGTGGAATCCCTGCCATAACACTCTAATGTCATCCCCGGCCCAATCTCCATCCCCATCACCTGCTCCCTCTCCACACCCTTCCACCCCAAGACAGTGGGGTAGCCCTGCCCCTAGTCCACAGCCTAAAGCATGGGGTCCTTACGGTCCCATGGGCTACGGCACTGGTGGGATCAGGCAAGGCAACCCTGCTGGTGCTTTCCCAGATAAAATACTTTCCCAAGCAGGCGAGAATTGTGGCTCTGCACCTCTGGGACTCCAGGAGAAAGCCTGGAAATCTGGTGGGGGATCAGCAGCAAGCAGCACACCATCTCCAGCTCCCGAGGGACGCTTGTTTCCTGACTCACTGCAAAGGTCGAATGGTCAGGCGTGTTGGGACAGTGAGGCAGAGACCCAGAGTGAACGCGACCCTGAAGAAGATGAGGTGTGGTCGGACAGTGAACACAACTTCATGGATCCCAATATTGGAGGAGTTGCAGTTGCCCCCGCTCATGGCTCTATCTTGATTGAGTGTGCCCGTCGGGAGCTCCATGCCACCACGCCACTCAAAAAGCCTGACCGATCTCACCCGAGCCGCATATCCCTGGTATTCTACCAGCACAAGAACCTGAACCAGCCCTGCCACGGTCTGGCTTTGTGGGAATCCAAGATGAAACTCCTGGCCGAGCGAGCACGCCAGCGGCAACAAGAAGCAGCTCTTTTGGGTCTCTCGCAGGAAGAAATTAAGGCCTACGGGAAAAAGCGCAAGTGGTCGGCTGGATCGGCGAGCCCATCCCCTGGACAAACCAAGGACAAACGAGAGGGTGTGATGACACGAATGGCGCCCACACAGCATACCACCACCGTAGTCACAGTTTCACCTCACCCGTCCACACACCTCACTGGTCCTTACAGCCGATTCGTGTGAACTCTTGTAAACTGTTGCCCCCTAGAGCCAGAGATGGGAATAGAAATGAAAAGGATCATGAATCTTACACCTTTACCATTTGCTTTCCCCTCTTCTAGCTCTAACACCTCTCAGGCCACCACAAGGGAGGGATATTAGAAGGGGCACTTTTTTCACTTTTTTTTTTTTCTTTTACCTCAAATTTTGGCAGCAGTTTGGGAACTCCCCAAACGGACACGCTGTCTATGGTGCTCTTGCTCTCTCCAACGTGGGAGGGATTTCCATAGCTACCCCTCCTTAAGTGAATTTGATCCTAATTATTATTGCTCTATTATCAATATTATTACAATTGCTATTGTTACTGTCAACGTTGATATTACAGGTATTGTTATTATATTATGAAGATGACTATTTTTTATGTTAATGTTAATGTTTTTTTTTTTTTCATAATTTCTATTCATATGATTTCCCCCCCTCCCCCAGACTAAGAGGGACTTCCTTTCTTCATTCAGCATTTTTTGTCGCGCTTTTCACCTCTCCCAACCCCACCGATCTCTATATTAATGAAGCGCCTTCACATCATTGCAAGTCATGTTTATGTGACTGCATTAAGGATCTGCTCTATATTGCGCTAGTCACTGAACTCTTGCACAAGAAAGAGAGGACCAGACACCAGCTTGGGCCTTTCTGTCTAATGAAATCTGTGAAGTCTCTCATCCCTTCAAATGGTGCTTCGTAAGTGTCTCTAATTTTGCCCTCACAATATCGAGGCAGGTGCTGGACCTGGGTGCTCTTTAGCGGCAGATGTCAGTCATGTTCAGTGACGGGGACCTCCCAGTCCTGGTAATTGGTTCAACCTTAAATCATGTCATCTGATTGGTGCTGACTCATTTGCCTGCAGTTTCACTGGCCATCCTTCACTACCCATGTGACATTTTTAGACTAAGTTCTCTAAGGTGCTGTTAGTGCTAGCAAAAATCCACCTCCATAAAAACCGCCCTTATGAGCTGCAGATAACCCAGAGTATTTAAAAAACAAAGTAGATTTTAAACAATAGTGGATCTGGTTGGTTCAGTCAGCAGACTGTCCAAAAAAAGATCTACACAGGGTTAAAGCTAAAGGTGGACTTGCCTAACAGGTTCCCAATATTTGGTTTTATGCATGGGATTCCCAATACAACTGGCCCTGTGTCTTCCATGTCCAGATTTATCTGTAGTTACCCATTTGTGATAGGCAGAGCACATTTCTTAGAGTTGGTGCTACTATGCTCCTGTAAAGATGCCCCCTCTCGTTGTAAGCAGCCCTCTTCTCTCTATTTAACCTGAGAGATCACCTACACCTGGAATTGATGGTGCTGAATGTCAATGCATAGTTTCAGCTCAGATGTGTGTGTGTGTGTGTGTGTGTGTGTGTGCGTGTATGGATTCCTAAACATGCACGCTGGTTAGAATGTATGTGTGCCAGTGTGAATGCCTGTCTGTGAGCTTCATATAGGGAGCAATGCAGGGCTGCCGCTGGTTTACACAGGGCTTTAAGATGCTTGACACTCACAGAGGAGAAATCCTGGTGCTCATTAAGTGGTCCTAATGCTCTTTACCTCATGTTGTACAGACACTGGTCCCAGTCACAACATGCTATACACACACGGGCGCTACAGACTGCAGGCTTGCTGCCTACATCCACATTCGTACCTACTTTTTTATTATTATTATTATTTATTATATGATAATGATGATGATTATTGTTATTGTGATTGCTGTCATTTTATTTTTTGGGTTTGTTCATTTTAGAGAAATTGTAAATATTGAAGAGAGGATTTTATATAAGCACTTTTAATCTTGATTTTAATGAGAAAAAAAAAATAAGAACGGATTATTGACAACTTGAAACCTAGTTTTTGTTTTAAAGGAATTTTATTGGGAGAGATAGAAATGTAAATAGTTGAATATTTAGGTAAGATTATTTAACTGGTGAGGGATGATGGCCTAATCATGAATGATTCCTGAATTTTTAGTCTTCAGTTGTCTGTGTGTCAAGCCGTCAACAACAGACCACAAAGCGGGATGCTTTGTCAGTGTACTCAAGATACTGCTGTCCTTCCTTTCGTGAGTACTGTACTTACACCAATACCTCTGTACTAGCATTGTCACCGGCTTCCTTCCCCTGCATCTGATCCACTTCTATAAACCGTAAAGTAATGGAGAACAAAGAAACAAATGTGAGCATGTTGACTAATACAGTTTCGCAAGGGTTCAGGACTCGGAAGTGCATCTCTTTTACATGAAAATTGCCCATAGAACCGAAAATAATCAGGTTTAAACTCGCAGCTTTCAGTTCAAATCTCCAGGTAGATCATGTAATGCTGAATTGTGTTGAATTAAATATTGTGTGGGGTTTTACAGAACTCTGAGTCTGCACTGACATTGTATTCTCTAGATTGTCATTGTCCTCTGAGACGTGAGACTTACCCCTGAATTTGAGGAAAAAGCTGAGTTTCAAGACAGCTCGGTGCGATTTCATTCACCCTAAATGTCTTTTGAACCATGGTGCTACCCTCTAGAGTTTATTGTGGAAATGACTCTTGGCAAACACTGTTGCTAAAGTACTTGGGCTCTTAAATTGATGTGAACTCGTTTTGAGAGTATTTGAGATGAAAACCTATATGGTGCTGATCATTTTAAAATATTTTTACATAGTTATTTCTGAAACACTTCTGATGGTCACAGTTTTTTTTTTTTTTTATAACTAAACAAATAAAAAAAGCACTCCAAATGATCCATTTCCCCTTTTTAGCAATCACCCTAAATAATTGAAATGGTACTTGAAGAGCATGATGGCAGGTAGAGGAATAGGTACTCATGCTTTTGATGTGAATAGACTGTTAATTTAATATTCTGGTGCTACCTAAACTGCCCAGAAATGTTTTCACCCATTCTGAAATTTTTATACATTTTGTCATTAAATTGAATATTCTCACTTTTTCTTTACTCACATTTGGCCACATTGTCACACGAATACACACAAACACAACACTCTCACGTACACACACACTACCCTGCCCCCTTTATCAGCACTCAATGTTATGAGTATAAATCATGCCCAGTTTTAAACATCAAAAGGACAAAATGTCTAAAAAGGAAAAAAAAAGAAAGAAAAAAAAACTGGCAGCTACATTCCTTTATGAGTTAAAGATTGTTCTTAGTTCTATTTTTCATGTTGAGTATGCAGTATGTAAAAAGTGTTATCTTTTGTTTGGTCTCTCTCCTTGTAGCTGTATGGTGTATTATGTGAATACATAGTGTATGTGGTAAGATCCACGATACTGTTTTATGTTCTAAACTAAGAAAAATAATTAAAAAAAATTAAGAACTTGCGTGACATTGTTTATTCATTTATTGACTGTCGATTTTGATGGGAGACTATAGATTTTATTTTAAAACTAAACTATTCAGGTTTGATGTTAAATGAGAAAGTCTGAATAAGACTCGAGATGTATCATTGCTAGATGCCCACATGATGGCATCAGAGTTCTGTTATCCGCATATTTGTACAGATGTGCGAGTAGCAATATCTGAATGCTGCTGAATTGTTAGTGTTGTTGCCAATTACCCAATAATTACCCAAGTAACAACTTGTTGGGTAATTATTATTACTAGGAGAAGCTGCATTTATCTGGGTGCCAGTCAGTGGTTATAAAAAGACCCTACTAATCAGCAACAGCTGGTAAAAAAGATTATTAGATTCATTAAAATTCCTGAATCGTTATACCCACTGTTCTTATACCTTTCCGTTTGGGATTAAAGCCCACTTGGTAGTGGTACCAAACCAATTATTTGTTTCAAAACTATTTACTGGTTAATTACATTTTAGAGATTGAAAAGTCGTCCAACTAATGGTCAGGTACGTATGACACGTGCCCCAGCCTCATATCATAATGATTAATAATGAAACTTTAAATAAGCAGTGACTCCAAAAACATTTTTATATAGGGCTATCATAAAATCAGGTTCCCCTTCGCACTTTTTGCCCAGAACTTTTCCTTCCCTCAGAGGGACAGAGTTTTCTTCTGCGCATGTCCTGAATAAAGTGGCCATGGTTCGAACAGGCTTGTTTGTGTATTGTTTTAATATGAATTTCTTTCAGGACAATAAACTGATTAAACTAAGTAGCCTACATAATTTTATTATAAAAGAACAAATGATCAAAAACTATTCTACACCATTCTATTCAACTATTCTATTAAGTGACAGGCTACATCAGACCAGACAATTCAGTATTCATTGAGAGACAGACAGCTATCCATTTGCACCTAATTTCATGCAAAATGTTCTTGTAACTCTGCGAAAAATTTCATTCGGCGTAATAGCGCCCCCTGCTGGACACTTGTGCAGTAAAAAAAAAAAATCATGCACGCCATGGTCACCCATTTCAAAATGTAAACTTTTTATAGTTTTTTTCTAACCATTCCAGGCAAATAATTCTGTTTGAACTGAATTGTGGCAAGGTGCCAATCGGAAAATATTACCTTGCATGTGAATGAGGATATTTTGTAATGTGTGTGTGTGTGTGTGTGTGTGTGTGTGTGTGTGTGTGTGTGTGTGTGTGTGTGTGTGTGTGTCCAATAGGGGTTCCTCAAGGGTAAACTTTAGGACCCATTTTATTTAGTATTTATTTTAATGATCTTCCTCAAGCATGTCCAGGTGTTGATGTTATAATGTATGCAGATGATACTGTGCTTTTTACTCATACAAGAACTAAAGAACTAGCTACAAGCAAACTGTCATCTGCTGCATGCAATAGTGAAAGTCGTGATTTCTATAATTTAAGCAAAACAGTTTGCATGTATTTCACTGTAAGAGAACAGAACTCAGTGAATTTAATTTAAATATTTGTAGAAACATCAGGCAACAGCTTTCTCAATCAGCTGCACTTCGTTTTGTGCACACTCTGATTGTCGCTCACTTGTCATTTTGTATAACAAATTGGTCACTGGCATGCAGGTAACATTACACTTAAGCCTGTGTACTCCCTTCATAAACAAATTATGAAAGCGCTAAACAAAACCTCCAAGGGACTATCATCATTGTACTATTTTAAAAAAGTTCAGTTGTTTAAATTTTAATAATTTTGTATTTTAAACTGATGTGTGCCTGATGTACAAAATCATTCATAATCTTGCTCCCCCTCCTGGCCCATAACGGAAGTGCCAGTAGGAATAGAGCATCTGTCAGGGGAGATTTGATACCGCAGTATAGAAAAACAGCCTTTGGTCAAAAAGCTTTTTCGGCTAGAGTGGTGGGGATATGGAATTTCTTACCCATAAACATCATAAGCAATGATAGCTTCTCATTTAAAAAAAAAACAAACAAAAAAAACAAAAACAAGCTTAAGTACTGGAGACCATCAGAACAAATCTGCAACCATTAATGACTGTGTTGTAAATCTGTTTTATATACTGATTTTGTAAATCTTACATTCCTGGATATAGCCTATGTATTGTGATGTTTTATGTGGTGTGTAATATTGTATGTTATTTTAATTGTTTACCTGCCCAGGGACAGCAGATGTAAATATGCTAACTCTGGTGCAATTACTTTTTTACTCTGCATTTTTACCCTGTAAAAATAAACAATGAAATTAATTATAATTAAAATATAGGGGTACATAATTCATAAAGCGCTATTTACATTATGTGACTGTCATGATACACACAGGAAACTTTAGATCCAAGAGCACTATATATTTATTAGGGTAATCTGTACTCACAACCAGTAGAGGCCATGCAGGAAAAGGACCTCTAGTGGTTACCCAGGAACACCAGACACTGTGACATGTCACTCATTGTTTACTCAGAAATTTCGGAAGTTTTCGTAAGCTACACATCGACGTGCAGACCGAAGCACCCGTGCCTTAGTTGTACGTGGTTACACGAGGTAAAAGCGATATAAATACTGTTCGTTTTCTCACACAAACCGCTCGTTTCGTGTCTTAGGCCATCAATGTGTACTTACATTTACGAGTCATTAAATCATATTTAATTTGTACTTCTCTGTGCATGCTCTTTAAGGTGAACCGAGGGTGGACCCCCTAAACCTGCATTATATGACTGACAGACAACAACGGTTTGACCGAAAAATATCAAAATTGAAAATGCTGTGGAAACAAAGACACCTACATCTTGGATACCCTTGAGGTAAGAGCTAAAACATATCAAAAATTAATTTCAAAGTGAACTATCCCTTTAAGCGAATGGGAACGCAACAACAATTTTTAATGTATATTCCCTCATTCACCGCTATAAAAGTTTACCCAACTATGACGACTTCCGCTTCTGAGAAACCTGGAAATGTGAAAATGGCCTATAGGCCTATATGTCACATAACATAATATTTAGCTTCCTCAGTAAAGCTGTTCAGTGTCCATTAACTCAGTTTTCACTATGGTGCATATTCATTGTATTTATACTTATCTTGTTCTTTTATATTTAATGTTGAAGCAAATAATTCTGTCATGTTTTTGTGACAGCCACCATATTTTAACAAACAAGCATAAATACATCCTATTTATGTCATTAAAAAGTTATTATTATAATGTAAAACACCATTCAAAATGGTGAACAATTTGTGTACTTACATCAAACAAAGTGAGAAAAAATAGGTCAGACGAGTTTATACCCATAACCCTGGCAGTCACTGAATAGGTTTCATTTATAAAATATCTCTCAGACCAAATTGAAATGGCTGTTGACATGGAGAACATTTGGTCCGATATATTAATGGCATCACCTGAAACCATCAATAATGGTTGCCTTCATTCACTATGTAAATAAATCAACTCTGATCTTTTACACAGTTTTAATTTGCTAGACATAATTGGGTCTTGACATCCTTTCATATCATCTGCATCTGATTCTGAGTTCCATGTTTCATCCAACAGTGAATGTTCAACCAATAGAACAAGAAGGCAGATTGCATGTAAATGATGCAAAATGCATACTAATGTCTTAATTTGTGAAAATCACCATTCCCACCCATTTTATATAATTTATTTATCTGTTTTTATGGCTCTGTAGTGACATGTGAATGGGGAAAAACATGCAGCATGAACAACTTCTATAACTGGGTGATTCTCACGAAATCCAGATTTAGGAGGAGTCCAGCATCAGAATTTAAAAAATGCCCTTGAAGCAGTGTTGTAGTACTCGAGACTCGGACTCGTCTCGGACTCAGTCTCGAGACCGTATTTTAATGGTCTTGGTCTTGTCATGGATAGGGATGGGTACCGAAACCCGGTATTAAACGGGCCCCGGTACTGAATTTTGAAAGACCGCTGTATCGATAAGCTCGGACGTTACCGGTTCTGCTGTCGGTACTGGAGAAATTAAGTAAATACACGCAAGTTGGGCTACTATTTATTATTCCTATAAAGACGTTATCTCGAACATGTTTATATCACCAGCCATTTCTAGATATAAACTATATTTTAATTAAACCATATGTCTGTGATGCAAATTTGCAATTCGCAGTTCAGAAGAGAGAGAGAAGAGAGAGAGAGCGATCTCTCACGCAAAGCCAAAGCACGCGCAACACGACAGCCCTTGCTTAATGAGTGACAATGAGGACAGAACTAAACATCCAACGTGGTTACACTTTAGATCTGGGGTATTATTCTAATATATTTTGTATTTCGGCTTCCAAAGATTATAAAAAGAAGATATTTGAGATAAAACCGTTAAAAAACGAAACGATCTGTCCAGCTTAACTTCCTTTACTTCACAGCACTGCGGAGCGCTGTCAGTTCTTCCTAAAACCCAAACGTAACCGTCAGAATCAGCACGATCGGCGATTGTTGCAAAGTGCTGTCTTCTACTGTTGCAAGATCAAGAAAATAGCTATTAAAAACACAAAAACCTGCGCAAGAGACGCTGTTCACAAGGCGGTGCACGCTCCGAAACGGACTGCAACGAGACAAGAAAAGTAACCTATATACTTGGTCTTTGTGCGTCCTTAACTATCAAATATACATACAAATGTCAAAATGACCAGCTCTGAGATTCACTTAAACACAGTTTATTCACTTAAACACAATTATGTCTTAAACGGACGTAAATAATAGGGAGAAAATGATGGTGCATCAGTCCCCATTATCTGAACTCGGTCTTAAAGGGGCAGCAGTCTAATAGCCTAAACCTGCTGACGATTCAGCCATTAATGCAAATCAAACAACAAAAGGCAGAGAAAATCACTCACAGCTTTTGAATGAGTAACTTTAGATTTAATAAGCATTATTCTATCTATGATAAACTACAGTGCTATTTTATATTTGATTAATAGGTTTCTTTTCAGACAGAAACAATTACCTGACAAGATATGTTAGTA